CTACTAGTTTTGGGAACTTTTCAGGCTCAAGAGTTGCATTTATGTTGTCCAGGGAGAATTGTGTGAGGAAACAACATAGAGCTAACTCCTTCTTACTAATGTTTCATTCTTGAAACATCTGTTAGCTAATTGGGTTTTTTCCACCTTCTTGCACTATCCTGTTGTGCAATGATAAAATCTCATCATCTCAGTTTCCCTGCTTCCCAGACTGTTCTGTTTATTGTGAACAACAGAATTTTCCAATTAATATTTCTAAAAAGAAACAACTGCTTTACAATGGAACAATTGATTCACTTTATTTATTCTTAGCTTGCACTGATTGATTCATAGAAATTTCTTTTGAGCACCATTTTTCTGTAGCATTAAAGAAACAACTATAGCAATTGCAGAACTCCTGCAATCGTAATCTCAGAGACTCCCAAATACAAAACACAATACTAATAAAGATATCCAATTGGCTTTAATTTAATTATTTCAATTTTGTGCTCATAATCTTGGAAATGGAAATACCAAATTTTAATTTCAAAAATAAATTTATTATTCTTACCTAGAAAAATATAAATGTATTAGAAGTACAGCCTTTTGTTTGTAAAGTCATCTGTTCAGCGGTAAAGAAATCCCAGATGAAAGCTTGCTGTGCAGCTGCAGATGTCTTTATTTTTACCTAATGGCTATCTCATATAAGGTAATTAAAGGCCTGCAACAGAAGCTGAAACACGGGAGTCTCTGGTTCTATTAATTTTTAATCACTGTACTGCAGAAACATAAACTTATATTACATCTTGTATGGCAAGAGCTTAGGCATGGGGTTTCCAAAGTGCTCCTGCATCAGAGCTGTGAGCAGTCTGGTGGCGATGGCATTCACCCGCATTTGGTGGCACATTGCTCACAGGTCATCATTTGCCAAACAAGCCATCTGCCAGGGAAACCAGCCTGAGAAAAAACCTGCCATCTCTTGCCCTTGGCTGGTTGTTCCTGCTCCTCAGTTTTGCCAGTACAGAGTTTTGTAGGGCTCTTGCACACCAGATGACTGAAGTGCTTCAGTCTGCAAAGGAGCTTTGCAGTCTCAAATGGCACAACTGAGGGACAGTGAGCAGCAGTGTCAGTACAGAGCAGAAAGGGAACGTTTTCAGCTGATTTTCCACAGAAAGTGTAATGTTGAACCTTACCCACAGGCAGAGGGGAATTTTAACACAGGACTTGTACATCACAGATGAATGCTCTAACCAATGAACATCAGATGAGAATCCCTTGAATTATTGTATTTGAAAAGAGAAGAGTGACCTTTATTTCATTTAGAAAAGAAAAATGATTGGCACCTGCCTTCTAGTTAGGAATTTGAATTCTGAATCTAAAACAGAAATATCTCCCAATAAGCAGCAGTAAGAGAGCTTTTAAAGCTCATCCCTGGATCTCTTCTTTTCTTTTTTTTTTTTCCCTTTTCATTTAGCTTAGTACTGCAAGTTTTCTCTCAGAAGTTGTGATCGATCTACTTATATGTACATCAGTCACTGCTGTTACTAGGAAACCATTGGGTTTTTCCTCTAAAGAATTGTTATAAATAAGCACCATGCCATGAAATAAGATCCTTGAGTATACTGCCTCGGCTTCCAACATAATTAAGATCAGGAAAAATCTAATTTAATGTAATTTACTGGGTTACATTAAATTTTCTTGATGGATCATTCATACCTAATTGCTTTGGACTGCAGCTTCATTGCATTCTATAATCCTGAGAGTAAATTTGAATAAAAGATGAAGCAGGCTGAGTAATACTTATGTTTCCAAGGTCCTGTCCTGGAACAGAAAAAAAACCCCAACTTTTCCTCTGTAAGCCATAGGGGAAAAAACCTCCCCCAGCTCCACTGGTGTCTTCAGGTCATGAAATCTGTGTGAATTAAATTTATCTTGTGCTGACTTCAGAATTGTAGGGAAGAGTTAGTTTTGTGTTCTTAAAAGCCACTGCAATACCAAAGAGCTACAAAATCCACAAACAGTACTCTTCTTCTTCTTCTTCTTCTTCTTCTTCTTCTCTCTTAACCTTTTAAGGCCCAAATATGACTGAAGCAGGAAACTCAGAAAGCTGTGCAACTTTAATCTTTCACTGCAAATACTTTACCTGTATCTTTAGTTTCAAAATCCTTACTGCTGACATAAAGTGTAACTTTGGAGACACTGCAGTACCTAGGGCTCCATAAGATTGATCAGATGTATGAATCTTAAAATAATATTTAGGAATCAAAATACGAGACTCTATTATAATATAGAATTTCCAGTATGTGATATGCTGAATTTTAACAAAAATCTGAAAAGTGTCCTAAAATTTTGGAAATTTACTGCTTAGCAGTCTAGAGTCAACTTGGAACCTTTGGGCTATTTTATTATTTTGCCACCATCATTTTCTTGTTCATTTATTGCAGTATATTAACATAGTTAATTGTTTTTTTTTTTTTTCTTGTTCATTTATTGCAGTATATTAACATAGTTAATTGTTTTTTTTAAAAAAATATGTTGAAAGTAAATATATTGCCTAGATCCATTCTTCCCAAACTTGTAACTTTTCTATTACCCATAGCTCTCCCATTTTATTTGCACCAATGTCCTCTACTCTATTTGCTATTATTTTCATAGATTGATGTTATACTGTTCAGCTTGAACCTCAGCCAGACATCTTAGACCTCTTGGCTCTGTTATGTGTACTTAATCTTTTCAATCTGTCTGTCTTTCTTCTATTTCACTACATATCCTAGCAGTTAGGAGAGAAGAACTCTCCTCCTTAAACTCTTTGGCTGCAGAATGGCAAAAACTAGCCCTGTTGTGACATTTAGCATCTACAAATTTTCCTTTAAAGAACAGCAAGGGATGTGTTGGCTTTTGGAAATGAAAGACCTGAATTTAATTTTCTTTTTAACCCTAATAGGTTCAAATTCATCTTCTACCTTCTAAGACACTGCCTAAATTCCTTAGCTAGAAATTAGTGTATTAGGGGCACTCTTCATCACTGTATTAAAGCTACACTCTTCTACAAAAGTGGATTTAAAATTAATAGTACAAGATACAGCAGATGACACAAATAGGCCTGAGTTTAGGGAACTCTGTTAGTAAGTCTCTTTCCTCCTGCTCATTGTCACAGGGATTGTTTTGTACTCTTTGGATAAAATACATGAAGAGAATGAAGGAAAGTTATAACTTGACATACTTTATTTATCTTTATTAGTAGGAAAGAGACAAATTTTGCATAGGAAATCATGTGCCTGGTTTAGCAGTTCCTTATGGCATTTAAAAGACATATGATTCTTCTTCTGGGTAAAAGAAAAGCAAAATCTTACTTCCTGAGAAGGAAATGAGGCAGATTTGGAACACAAAATTAAAATCTAGAATCATGAATCTTCTCATGTTTAGGTTTGCATTAGATTAAGCAATAAAGTGACAGTAATTGTGATGTAATCCCAAACAAAAGCAAAACATGAATAAAGGCCTTATTTAATATAATGGTTAAAAGTTGCTCAAAGCAATAAAACCTTTAAGACTATTCACAAACATTATCACCTACTGTGTAGCTCAGATCACACAGTCACCATAAACTTTAATTCAGTTTGATGTAAAATCTTCTTGAGCAGAAAACATTTAAACCTTTCATGTCAGTCAAGTTTTGGTAGCCAATGTTAATTTAACCCAATGAATGAAGACTAAAAATACACATAAAAAATTCATCCTGCTTGCTTGTACTGTGAGAGGGATTTTATGATCATTAACATGCCACTGGGAATTCAGATTCTGCTTTTATTGTCTTCGTTGTCACTAAGATGTACCTTTTATTCTATTTTTCATTTAGTAGGATTTTTTTCTGTCTTGGTCCCAGCATTGCTCTGGTAGTCTCATGTTCAGGGGGACCCATGGGGTTTTTCGTGAGGAAGTCAGTAATGTGTTATGATCAAACTTTTCCAAATGCAAGTGAGGAAAAGTTTTCCCAAGTCCGGTGAACAGCATCCTTGGTTCCAGCACTACTGGGCCAGCTGCTAACTGTTTTGAAACAGTTTGAAACAGCTTTAGTATTTGAGTCTATACCATTGCAGCTATTCTTTAACATCTCTGTGGTTGACATAAAAATATGTCAACCACACAAAAATATGATTTTGTGTTCCTACAGGTAATAAGTGTATTAAGATATTTTTTTAAGCATTGTGTAAAACCATTTTAAATCCAAGCTTCAATATACATTTCAAAAAAAAAAAAAAAAAGACACATTGCACAAAAATATGCATTTTGGAAGTTTGTTTTTTGTTACTTATTAAATTTCAATTTCAAAAGAAAATACGAGGTAGGAAAACTATCAGGTTATAGAATTGGGTCATTAGGGTTACCTGAGTTTCATAACTGGCTTTTCACATGTGCTTTCCCATCTTGCTGATTAAAGCAATGGTTATATGAGATTTACAAGCCCATCTGGAAAAGTGCACATTCTCCTCCCAAAGAGTATTCTCCCATGTGAACCATATCCCACTGCCAGTTCCTTTTGGAATTACGGTGGTGCTATGCTTACCTGACAAACTGGCACCATGTTCAAAGAAGTACGTAAATGAAATGGGATTTGTGGGACTAATCCCTTTGAAACCCATGGTATTACCTTGATGGGCAGTGCTTCAGGTAAGAGATGTGCGCTAGTTGTTTGTGAGCCCTAACTGACATAAATAAGACTTATTAAGAAGAAAATACACAAATACGACACTCTGAAATTTTGAAAAATAATTCTACCCCTAAATTATATCTGAGTTGGGTCTGGGGCCTTTTGCCTTGGCTGGGAATCTATCAGCCACGTGTGCCCTTAGCCACAGGGAATGCCCTCTCTGCAGCCCCAGAAGGGCCCAATGAAGCACTCTGCTCTCCAGGCAACCTGGCACCGTGGGACAGTAGGAAGTTAATCCACTGGGGTCTGTGTCCGTGGTGAAATCTTCAAAGCCCACTTACATCCTGGGTGTTCATGTCTCTCCCTGCTCCAGGTCACAGCCTCGGCTCAGCAAAGGTGTCCCGGGCGCAGACATTTCCCAGCTACCCGTCGGAGCAGGGCGAGGAGCACCAGCAGCCGCTGTCACTGGCCAGCAGCTACGCCTTCAGCTACGGCTCGGGGCTGGTGCAATGACAGCCGGGGGCTGCCGGCCCACATGGACAGCTGAGCCTGGAGCCTCCCGCCAGGACTGGGGAGACGCTGGCCCCCTCTGCACCCACCATTTGCCGTGAAAACTGATGCCTACCAGCTCCAGCCGGGGCGCCGCCAATGCGGAAACCTGGAGAGGCGGCTTCCCCGAAGCAGAGGCTAAGTCTTTATTTATTTATTTTGCCGTTCCTTTTGTCGATATGTTCAGAAAGGAGAGGGTTGGGGGGTTGGGGGGAGGGAGGAAGGGGGACACGTCTGTGTTGTAAGAAAGTGGTGGAAACAAATGAAACTGTGTTGGTTGGTGTGAAGGTTTCTGCATGACCGGAGAAGGTCCCTTCTGGGGCTCCACTGCAATGGCGCGTTTGACGCTGGGGCCTTCCTTCCCGCTCCCACCAGCAAGACAGCCTGTCTTCACCCACAACCTCTGTAGGTCCTTGCCACAGCCTACAATTCCCGCTGGAGGCACTGAAATGTCACCTACTCAAGATGCGGTGTCAGTGCTGCAGGGGTCACCTCCAAATCCGAGCGGGTTCACTCACTGCCCTAGAGGGTGGTTGGGTGTTTTTTGAGCCAGACACCAACAAATACTGCAGCAGCAGGCTGATATGTCTTGTTGGGAATAGGGTTTGGTGCATTACGGTAAGGTTATTGCCTGGTCCAGCTCTAATCTTAAATTCCCGGGGCACAAATTCATCCCTTACACGTGCAATTTTCACCATGCCCCTAAGAGCTGTGAACATCCCTATCAGCAGCACAGTCTAGTCATCAGAACTGCTGCAAAGTCTTCTTGTTCGCAAATTATTTAGGTAACCGTGCCTGCAAGCCGAACTTTAAAAAGCGGGAAAATTGTTTTGTTTCAAACAAAAAAAAGTGGGCCACTTGCCCAGCTGGCGACTGCCCATGCCACAGCTGGGCCAGACATGGTAGAGCTGAGCTCTGGTCTTGTCTTTCTGGTCAGCGTTACTTTGATTTTCTGTGTTTCCTTCTCAGATTTCTGTTCTAGATGCACATTGTATCTTGTATGATCATGTGTCAAGCATCTGTTTACTCTGAAAAGGAGGATGAGTACCTCTCAATGGAAATTTTCTGTCTTTGGAAGACGTCTTTAAAAAACAAACTGTAGTAGATGTTTGTAATCAGTAATGAGGGAATAAGTTGGAAGGCATACTTGTAGGTGGGGAATGAATTTTATCTATTCTGAACATTTAGATTTTTGTAACTCTTATCGAATATTTATGTACTCCTTGTGATGCCCTGAAATGTTTGAAATTGTGAGGAGAAAAATTTGCCCTCTTGTATGATCTGAGGAGCCTTGTGTTCTGTTCCCAGAGTGAAACTATTGCCATGATTACCAGAGGCATTCAGTTCATTGGTTGTTTCTCAGGACAGGTTGAGGAAATGTACCAAGGAGGAGACACATAGACTCTTTTCCAATGAAACAATTGGTTTTATGTACTATAATTTAACTGAAAAAATGCTGTTGGGTTGTTTTATATATGCACATTATATATATATATATATATATATATATATATATATATATATATATGTATGTATTAAAAGGTATGGAAGAAACTTCTGCTTTTGATTAAACATTCACCAATACAGTATGGTCAGCTTTTCTCCAACCATTTTCCTGGCTGAGACCTTGCAGACTTAGAGCTTTCAGTGAACGGCTGCTGAATAAAAAAGCTTTGTGATCCACTTGAATGAAACAGTTCTACCCCACCACAATCACCTTTATTTATTTTTTCCCGTTTTTTCTTGTCTCATTCACTACCTCTTTTCCTTCTCACAGTGCTGCCATACTCAGGAATAGAATGGCTCCCTGCAGAGAGTATTTTGATGAGCTAAAATGAAAAACTGCTCTCCCACGCTGTCAGGGCACTGTACCTATGGTACTCTCAGAGCTGTACCCATCAAGGAAGCTTCATTCACACTTTCATTTAAGAAAAAGATTCAGTTGACATTTTGCTTAGGGAAAAATTCCAATTTTCAAACTTTAAATGTGACATTTGATACAAAATAATAATGGTGTAATTCTGTTACTCAGTGCAGCTTTGCCAAATATTTGCCTTTTGGGGAAATGGTCAGTTATTTTTATTCCTTTGCAACTGGGATTCATTCACTTGCCCTAAAATTATGTATGTTTTCTTTGAAACTCCTTAGATTAAGTTTTCAATATGTTCTACAGTTTTCAATGCCGTATCCAAGTAACTTTCTTCCTCTGTGACTAAAATACTAGTCATTTAATAATTACATATTCTACACAGCCCAAAAGTGGGGAAAAGGCAAAACAGGAGCACATAACTGCTTTATAGTTCCAATGTCCATATACTTTAAGAACCTATCTAATTCCTCAACCTAGTACTTCAACTGTATTTCTATAAAAAGCATAAGGTCTATATAATGTTCTCTTTTCGTTTCCTGGGGAACAGTTGCTGTTTGTGGCTTTGTCTTCCTATGCAGTACCTGAGTATTGCCAAGTTAATGAAAATGTAGATGCTATTTTCAAAGAAAACACACAAAAAAGGGATGGAAGGGGGCATTATAGCAGTTTTGGCTACATATATATGGCCATACATAGCAGTTTTACTAAATATTTTGCTTTCATTGCTTAATGCAACCATCTTCTCAACTCAATATCAAAAGTTCTGATATTTAACACAGATTAAATATCTGTGAGGTCTCTCTCCTACAATACACAGAAAATTGAACAAACACAGAACACAACCAATCTATAGCAAATCTGACCAGTTGGGAACCTATTTCTTATAGAGACCAAACACAAGCACACTAGAGTTTGAAAATGAGGATGCAACTTTGCAATGTGCTGTAACACAGCCTAAGGCAATTGGTAATCTGAAGCACAAAAGTATTCAGGAGCTAGTGGATGCTGCCATTAGTGCCACTCCAGAACAGCAGATGATATCACTGTAACACTGATGTATTCACACAGCTTCCACAAATGTTCCTCAGAAAAACTCCATGAGAACCAGGCAGACACTGTGACAGCAGTGTGACAGAAAATTCTGTTTTCATGGAATTGCTTTAATTCCTGGCATATGCCTGTTGATAACCTAACTGATGGCCACTGAGACTACTTTGTAGAGCTCCTAGTGCTTCCACCAGAAGGAAAACTCTCTTTTGGAACACATGGTAGAGCTGCCTGCCTAGAGACTACAGCGGCCTTTAAATAGACCCAGGGACCCCATGGGACCCTGTTCCAGTCTCGGCTTTCCTCCTGTGCAAGGCACACAGACTACTCCTGACCCAAGAGTTGCTCTCTATTTTCAGCTAATGAGCTGTGAAGGAATGGAGGGCAACAAAATGTCTTCAGTGATAACCAGGTGCAGCTGGTACAAATGGAACTTAGCATTAGTACGTGATAAAATAGAAGAAATAAAGTAAAGCTTTTGCTTTTATTTCTATTTCAGAGGGTGTGATATGAATATATAATTGTAACTGTGATTTACTTTTTTTTTGAAATCACCCTTTGATAACAATATATTCACCCCTATGAACCAATAACACATGGCATTACTAAATATAGTTACTAATATATCTTTACTGTGAATATTATAGATTGATGCATGCTGGTACTTTTGATTTTGAAGTCACTTGGTGCAGAAAAGGTGAAATTTAAAGAGACTGCTAATAAATCATCACATGGTGCTAAGGAACTTGAATAGTCCCATTTTTTAAACAGCCACATGTCATTATTTATAGTTTAAACTGTCTGTGAGTATACTGCTTTGAAACAATTTCATCTGCCCATGTAAAGGAAAAAGAAAGGGGAATCTCTTGTAGCAGGGACTTTGCTGTCATACTGAGTAAATATTCAGACATTACTTTTTGTGGCAGACATGTATCAAGTTCTGTCCTTGAGAGGTTTTGCTGTGTTTGTTTTCTTCTTCTTTGGTTCCACAAAAGCTACAAGTAAAACTTGAAAATGTATTGACAAACCAAAGTTTGTTGAGACATTGACAATAGCTGCTCTTTTTTGTTTTGTCAAAAGTCTACTATGACATTTCGGGAAAAATAGTTCATTCCACAACACATGTATAGGAATCCTGTTGGGATGCAGAAAACTATAATCAAGTTTTGTTCTAAGTTAATAAGACTTTGCTGGAAGAGGGGTTGAAATTGAGTGTCTGAGGGAAAAAGTGTTTTAAAGTGCTCTCTATAGCAATAATTTAAGTACAAAATACAGCCTTCAGGCACCCATTTATTTAGAAGTTGCTAAAGTGCAGGCAATCTGTGACGACCCTTACCTGCTTACGGCAAAGAGAAAAAAAGGTCAATCGTTAATCATATCTATGTACTGCATTTATCAGAAAAAGAATTAACTTCATGCTTGTTCAGCTTTTCAGTCTAAAGGGCAATACTATGAGGAGTAGGGTTTTTTGAGATATTTGATCTCTAGAACTGACAAAGACCATCAGCCTGTAGCATATAAACCTCTACTTAGACTTAGCTCACCAGCCACATGTGCTAGTTTTCATCTGGTAACCTAGAAAATGCAGGGTGGTTTTGCATTAGAAAATATAACTGTCCTTAATGGCTGTGCATTTTAGCATGAAATATAGAATTATTTACGAAATACTAAAAAGGAAGGAGTAATGAGTTCCAATTAATATCTGCTTTAGTGTTTAACATCAGTGTATTTTGGCTCTTTTTTATACCTGCTGCAAAGGAATAAGTGTGGCTTTTATCCACACATGGAATGGAGTGAACAGTGGAAAAAGTGTGAAAAGCTGCTCTTTGATTATGAGAATAGATCCAACAGCACCGGAAAATTTCATTTTTCCATACATCATTCAAATACTTGTGACTCTTTCCAAACACACTTATAACACAAGAGGATATATTAGAATTTTACATTTTTAACCACAGAGAACTGGTCAAAATGCCCATCTGTGTTTTGTAAGTAGAAGGTAATGACTGTGCAACACCACTGTAGTGACATAACTTTAAAATCAAAGGGCTGGATATATGAATTCTGCAGATATAAAGTCTTGCACTGCATGAAGGGGGCTGTGTTTGTACTTGATATTATAAATAAATGCTCTTCACTTTTTATTTTAGATAAAAAGGTGAGGTATGTTGGAAACAAAGATAAGCTTATGGCGGAATGAAAGAAACCACAAAGAATATTGACTCTCTTGTTGTAACAAGAAGTTTGTCTCCCTGTCCAGGTCCTTAAAAGACAGTAAAAGGTGATGGGTGAAGGTCTTGTGTATTCAGCAATTATTTAAATTGCATTGTGCTTAGAAACCTAAATATTAAAATATGCTGGCAAAGTGGTGCTATTGAAGAAAATGGAAGTTTCACTTTGCAAGGATTTTTACAAGCTTATGCAGCTCGACAGATTTTTACAGACACAATTAAAACCCATGAAAGTAACTGAGGTTTAAGTATGATTAAATATAATTAAAGCATTTGAAAATGTCCATATTGTTATGAATATTGCTAGCTGTAATGGAGACAGTATTTCCTTTTAAACTAAATGCAAGCTCAAAAAGTAATAGGCTCTCTAATATGAAGAAGTTATTCTTTTTTAAAATCATATTTAAAGTGCCAAAAAATGAATTTCATTGGGGTTTTTTGTTGCTTTGATACAGAGATCTTCAGGAGGTTCAACAGATATACAATCCTGAAATTGTCAAGTACATTAGTGTATTTTACAGTAAATTTTTTCCTGTGAGACTATTTTACATGAATGAAGTTAATTTTTAATCAACTGACACATTGTTTTCAGTCTTTTTAAAAAATTGTGATAGCAAGTCAGAGTGGGCATAGAAAACAGCACAAAATTAATTGGCTGGTTTGGCAATTCCATACCAATAACCAAGATAAGGGTTTCAGTTATACATTTATTTTCATCATTGCTCCTATACTTAAAGCAGAATAAATTACATAAAATAAAATTTTCTTTGTGGACGTTTATTGTCACATTTCCTGAGTTTCCACAAATGATGGGCTGTGACAGGAGATATCCAGAACTGCATTTTTGAAATTGTTCTAATTTGAGATGGTTGCAAGGAAAAACAGAAAATACATGGAAAAAAGAAGTGTTATGACTCCTTACCAAAGAATGACACATGCTAATCTTTTATTTCTTTGAAAATCATCATTATAGAAAGGTGGAGAAATTTATGAAAGTGAAAAATGTGGTAAGAAATAGGCAAAAATAAAACCAGATTCTGTAATCTTTGAAAATATTAGGAGAAATTGACAAAGACTTAAGCGCACAGCAGTGGGCCATGTTGAGCACAAAACACTTTCCCATAGTCCAAATTCATATTCCCAAATTATTCTTCTCTTTCATCAGGAGCTGGAAACAATGTTGTGTGTTCAGTCTGATTCACAGCTCTACATTACTCTGTACAAAGCATGATGGGTTCATTTTCCCTAATGAAAACCTGGCTGGAAGAACCAAGTACCAGCCTGCCTGACATGAATTATGCAACACAGAAAAACAGTATTTTGCATAACCCACCGCTGATGTCATCACACAACTTTGTGGAACTCACTGCAGCCAGGTATTGTCAAAAGTATGATTTAGAATATTTTTAGAATATTTAGAATATTTCAAATGTATGATTTAGAATATTTTTAGAATATTTTAGTATTTCATACTAAAAGTATGATTTAGAATCATTGAATTCTGGGTGATATCTTCCTTAATGATGCATAAAAATACATACAGAGGTGCTCAACCTTTTTGCTTCTAATTTCAAAATGTTCTGACAGAGTTCTGTAGGAAGGTTCCTCCCATTCTAAAGTTGTTGGGTAAATTATAGACATTTCAAAGAAAATAATAAATGTCTGCTAAAGACAGTTTTATTTCAGTAGGAAAAAATAGTATTAAATATTAATTTTAATTAATTTTAATAAAGACTAATTTAATTATTAGAGATTAATTTTAATACATACAAATATTTCTAACATACATTCCTCTTTTCAAATACACATATAGACATCAGCATGAACAGAGAAAATATTGAAGAAAAAAGAAAGATACTGTGCTCTTGTTTATATCTTAGTATGATAACCCATTGATCACTTAAATAATTTTATAAAATTTACTGGTTAATGCTACAAATTAATTACTTAGTGTAACAATCCAATTGAATAAACTGTTAAGACAGGTGTTAAATACCCTTTAGAACCACTGACATGCATTTTTTGTAAAATTACAAAGTTGTCTTTTTAAGTAAGCCTAAGGTTAGAAGAAATATGTCAGCCATGCTAGTAATTCATATTAATTATCTTATCTAACTATACAGGCTAACAATGTGGATAGTGTGGAAATAATCTTTTGAAGTTTGTGTTGGATAGCTTTGTACATTTCCTCTGATATTTCTAGCTCAAACATTATATTCTAATTATATGTAGGGATATTTAACTCTAACTCTATAGCACAGATAGTAAGGTTAATCTACAGCTTTATAAATCAAGCCTAATCAGGGCCAAGAAATTAGTCAGAGCAGTGGCACTAGTCAGTCCTGTGACATGGTGGCAGCCTGCCCCAGTAATATCTGAGGACACACAGCTGAGGCTATCTCAGTATTCCTGAGGCTCCCCTGCTTTAACAAAAATGTTGGCAAACTCATCACTCATTTATCCCACGGTTATCCAGATGCTTGTTCTCTTCTCATAACTCTCAATGCATTGTACTATTAGAAAAGAGCAACAACAAAAAAAAACTATGGACAAAAGCAGAGACAAGCACCCTCTTGGTAGAAGAGTGTCCTACCAAGCCCTGCAGGCTCTTCTTCATCCTAAAAATATGAGTTGTTTCTGTGCAGGAGCCCCACTTCAGAGGGCAGGGGAGAGAGCATGCTTACTTGTCTGATGCAGGCTGGGAGAGAACTGGGAAGGGTCTCCCAAATCACCTGAGTGATTTGGCAGGTATGATGCTGGATGAACCAGAATTTCACGTGGCAGTGAAAAGCCTGGTCCAGTTTAGTTTGGAAGACTGCTGTGGGTCTGTAGCCTGGGGTGGAACCATTTGCCTGAGATATCAAAGGAGCAGCGGTCCCCTGAGCCCACACATACCCTGACAGCACACCCCAGCAGGGCACAGCTGTGAAGATGTGTCTTGTGCTCTAGCCCAACAGGGTTCTCCAGGAATGTGTGTGTTTTGGAAATGTTTTTTATGTTGCCTTACTTACACCTTGAACAATACAGTCTGAGAACTTGGCGGACAGCTTCTACTCCTGGGGTCTGCAGCCTAAAAGAACATTTTAGCACCTATCTTGTAGACAGACGGGCTGGTTTTGGAAATAACCTTTAGTGTCAGACTTACAAAGCTGTTCAGAGGATTAACTCCTATTGAGCATCTCAGCTTTGAAGGAAATTGCACTAGGGAGTACTCACTGAGGCAGAGTTTCAGCTTCTGTAAATAAATACCATTGATTTGGGTTTTCACAGAGCTCCATAACAGAGTATATCTAAAGGAGCATGATGCACATAAGATTTTAAAGTAAATTTGAAAAATCAGAGTCCTGGTGCCCTGATATATTTATGATTCCAAAAACAATAATCATCGCCCTTAAAAAAAAAAAAAAAAAAAAAAAAAAAAAAAAAAAAAAAAAAAAAAAAACACGAAAAAGCACACAAACAAACAAAAAAAAAAAAACACCCTAGAAATGAAACTAGTAGTGAGATCAATCCTCTGAACAATCCTCTGAATATTAAATCTTTCCTTTTTCTGAAGGAACGTGTCTTATTTGGAACTCTCAGGAGTAAACTAGCAAGTGCTGGTAGCAGCTATACTTCAACTGTTCTGCCTGCTGTGTGTCCTTGGTCCTTTCCTCCTGTCCCCTGGTCCTGGGATAACACCTGGAGAGGAGGCAGGTGGTTAAGTTGTGCAGTATAGTTAGAACAAGCTATGTATGAGCATTCTTCAAACAGAGAAGGTGGGTGGGAATTTAGGTCAGGTGAAGGTCATAAAGAAGGTTAATTGCTGAACTACCCTTCCAAAAGAGGGGGTATCCAGCTTCTTGTGTTCCTTGGTGGGTCCAGCCCTTAAAACAGCCTGTTTCCTCACTGAAATCTTGTTTTACCCCAAGACACACAGCCAAGGGAGAGCAGAAGACTAGCAGAAGGAGCAGTATCATGAACTTATTACAGTCAGAGAAGTTCTTTAAGGTAGAGGAATGTGTCTGAAATTAATGAAGAAGATAACAGGTTCTAACTTTCACCTTCTTTCGTAGACTGTGAGTTTATTTTTCATCCTGTTGATTCAAACTTCGGTGACTGCCTTTCCTACATTCATAAGTCTTTTTCAAAGAGATTTGAGTTTACACCCTTTAAAGACTTAGTTGTACTATTGATCATTGACTATTCCTTTGAAGATTGAATTTAAACATTTCTCTTTTTGACCCAATGAAAAAGATTATTTTTATTATTATGGAAAAGGTTTTACTTTTCTTTAATCTCATATATTCATTTTCAAATCACACAGATGGTAGTTACCCTATAATACCCTTCAAGGTATTCAAAACTCAGTTTTTTAATGACAATATATTTTATTACATTTATTTCCTTTCAGCAAAGTTTCTAAGACTTAAAAAAAAAACCCAGAACTACTTTGCAGTTTAGATGGTATGCTGAGCTAGTTGCTATCCATGGTTGTGTCATTTTGCTTCATTGATTCTTTTTTCCTCCCTCTTAACTACTTGAGCGAGTGATATAGCATGAAACAGCACAGTAACTGTTAAACATAAAATTCCGAATTACAGTTGGTGGAGTTTATTCAAAAGAAATTTTTAAAAATCCAAAAGGAAAGGACAAATCTATGGGAAATACTGAAACTAAGCAGCAATAAACCATGGTTTGTTTATGCTGGAAAGTCTATTTACATAATCCAAACACCAAATATTGGGTCCCAACCTGCCAGACTCATAAAATATTTAAAGAGTTATAATATTGCATTTCAAATTGAGCTTTTGGAAGTTTCTCTTGTGTGTATCTTGCTAGTTTTTAAACCAATAAGAATGTTGATAAGTTTGGGGTTGTTTTCTTTTTGGTTTTAATTTGTCACTTGTTCAGCTGCTGTTCACTGATATTACTATGGCACAGAAATGAAGCTGTTGTTTTGGGATTGTTTTTTGAAAAAAAAAATAACATATTGTTCTTATTATGCTATGTGTGATGTGATTTTCCCTGTGGATTATCCTACTGGTAGAACTAATATGTTTACGGAATTTGAATTAAAACAGATTACATACCTGCAAAGGAGTGCACTATAGATTTTATTTTGTCTTCAAATCACAAAAATAAGCAATTGTTTCAAAAATACAAGCTGAAAGTGCCAAGAAAAGAAATAAGGGCAGTACCACAAATAATCAAAACAATCTGGTATTCCAAATATTTAAACTCAACCTCTCCCTGTTTTTTACCTTCAGTAAAGCAGGGATGTATTCTGACGGTCTCTAAAAGCAGTAAAACAATACCATCTTCTCAGTTTATGGATGTTAGTGTATCAGGACTCCAACTGAGACCTTCTGTGTAATCAAATCCATTACATCGTTATTACTATCGGGGGATCATAAGAAATGACCCAGTGCTACAAGGTTTCATTTGTAAGGCTGTGCACAAGTTAGAATTAACTGCTATGACATTTGATAACTCAGGAAATAAACCAACTTGTTAGTAGTACAGTTCTGTGTATCCTCATCAAATTCACATTAAAGCATTTATATACCTGAAAACCTTCAGCAAGTGAAATTTAAAAAAAAAAACCTCCATTGAAACACGTCCTTGTTCAGGAGTACAGAAAACCAAAAGAAGATGTTTTTAATGGTATATGACATTGTAAACAATTTAAGTCTTCAGTGTAATTTGAAAGGACGCTTTAGTTTAGGATTTTAGATTTTTAGCTGAAGTGTAGGATAACCACATGACGCTCTTATTGCTCAAATAGTGAAGAAAAGCCTTGTGTCCATGTTATTCTCAGAAGAAACTAGGTTCCTATTTTCCTGTGCACGTGAAGAAAGCTTTTCACTGGAGAAGGCTGTGCAAAATGTGCTTTTCACTGTCAGGCTGTGATGCCCTTCCTAGCCAGCCAAGCAAACCGGTACTTGATTTGTAGGCAGGCTCATGATGCCTCCACCACTAACTCCTTTCAAAAAAAACCCAAACAAAAACCCCAAACGCCATATCCAGCAAGATTTTTGCATATGCTTCAAGAGAAAAGTGGAATCAGGCATAGGTGGGCCAGGCACGCAGTTTGCAGTATGCTGACATGGATGATTATCAGCTGTCGTGGTAACAACACACTTTCATTTACTGGGATTCTGTCCTCAGTAATTCAGCAGATTTGTAAAAGGCCAAAAGATGCATAGATCCTAATTCTCAGGTCTGCCTTCTAGTTCTGTTTGTTTAATGACTTTTTTTTGTCTGTTTGTTCAATTTCTGTGTGATTTCTTCTGTAGGTTTCAGCAGAATATATACGTATGCGCACATACAACTACATATGTATGTGTATTGTTTTGTAAATGTTCTCAGTCATGCTTTCTTCTGCTTTGCACCATTTACTCATATACCTTCCATGTTCTCATTTATTTTTTGCTCAATTAAACCTTATAATAAATTATTAAATATAACCTGACAGTGACAGAGTCTTCCTGCTTTGTTGTCTTCTGGGCATGGGGAGAAGTGAAGGGCGTGAAGGAGTGGGGGAGGAGAGCAGGGGCTACACTTCAATTGCATCCCCAAAACGAAAACACTGAAATTACTGTGGTGAGTGGCAAGAAGCCTGTGAAACCACAAAGCTGTCAGATACCAAGCTGCTGTTCATACTTTTAAATCTAGGTTCAAGGAGCCCTGATACATTTGCTTTTGTCAGCTGAATAGCACTGTTTGCCCGGCAGCAAAATAACACCTCCTGTGTGGAAAATCATGGGTATTTATTATTCCATAGAGCTCTCAATTTGAGATGCAAAAACCATGAACATAGACAACATCAAACACATTTTCTTTCTTACCCTGTCACGTAGGCTTCTCATACACATAGATTTCTCAGACCAAATTAACTTTATGTAAACGTATGCAGCTCCATTCTGCATATTAGAGTGTTCTAAAACTGATCCTTAAGAGTCCACCTACTAGGTAAAAGTGTTTCTATTGCAGAAGTACAAATAGTCTCTAATCCTGCATATGAATTATGGGATAGGGTAACTCTGCAGGCTGCAATACAACACCAAAACAGCCAGGGTCTCATCACTGTCCTGCCAAAGCAGCTCAGGCCCTACCAGCACAGCCAGTTTGACCTTCCACATCTTACCAGCACAGAGAAAATAAAGTCTATTCTGTAAATAAAAGGCCTGTGCTCTGATTGCTTCATTCTTAAGAAAGAACCTAATGATCTTTTCTTATGTTTTTGTGAGACATTTTTGCAGTTGACATAAATCTCCTCTGTCTGCCTGAGTGATGATTATTCTCCTCTTCTTTCTCTGCTGTGTATGCCATGAAAATTGGATCTTCCATAACTGTTAGAAGGAGGTTAGAAGAACATTAAAAGGAAAAAAAAAAGAAAGAAAAAGTTGAAGGACTTTTCTCAAAGCAACTACTGCTTTGAAAGAGCAGAAAAAATTTTCTTCAGATGCTGACTTATTATTGGGAAGTATGAAACCATCAATACAAATAGTTTTTTTCAGATCCAAGTCATATGAAAAAAAAGAAGTTTCAGCTTGAATATGTTTCCCAGCTGTCTCACATCGGCCCCCTGATAAAGCACCAGTGAAATGCTCCTTCCCCTCACACACACTCTTCAGATACTGATGCGGTCTCTCCTACACCCATCTTAAAACATGAATTATTCTGAAGCTCTTGACTATGCTAAGAATTAGTCATTTCATTAAGACAACTAAATTTTACAATGCCTGGGTAAACTGGTATGGAGGAAAGGTGATTTCTGAAGCAAAAGACTGGTCCCTAACCTATGGCCACTCTAGGAAGAGCTTCATCCCGGTACAAACAGTGACCCAACCATCAGAATGAGAGAAATTGGCTTTATCAGGATATATTGACAGTGACATTGACAGTGGAGCTTGTCACTGGATCATACAGGAGTGAGATCTGGGAGGAGATAGGTGGAAAGGCATTCTCACATCCACTGTGAAAATGGGGTCTCACATCCACCATGAACACTCATTTCCCTAAACACACCCCCGATTAAGGGTGTGAAGAGACAAGACAGAAGCAGTGAAATTGGCTCCTTGTCTTTCCACTTCTAAACTTCAGGGCTTAAATAGGATTATTAAGGGGGAAAAAAAGACTCTGTGTTCCAAAACACAGACTGCTACAACAAAAAAACAAAAAAAAAAAAAAAAAAAAGGTGCACTGAAACATCTATCCTAAAGAATTGTAGTGAAGCTGAACTGGAAAAACCAGATTAGACAAAGAGTATCACACAATATGATTTTTTGCCTCAGTTTTACAAGTGATGACTTGAGGAAAAAAGACATTTACCAAGAGACAATAATACATAGCCCAGAGTAGTCTCTGAATGTAGCTGTAAAGCATTAAGGGGTATTCATCAAAAAAATCATGTATAGTAGTAATCATATTTTAAAATCTTCAATTTTTCCTGCCTATATAGTTTAAGATTAGACTACAAGATTATGGGGATATAAAAAGTAGACACAGAAGAGAAAGATCTTAATAAATATACAGTACAAACCATGAGTAATCTTCATCTCAACAGGTGACCTTAACCAGATCTGAGTAGAGTACAGAGCTTTTGATAAAGCCTCTGTGATCCTCCTCTTCTTTCTGAAGACATAGATTTAGTCAGAAACATAGTGGAGGAAACGGCATCATACATGATATTATAGTCTAAAATATCTAATTCCGATATAATGCTGATATTGCTGACTTTCTCACTGAAACCAATAAATACAATAAAAATCCAGGTAGACTTGCAAACTGCAACATGCATGAGATTCGCACTGTGTCATAAAACCCTGAAAAGGCCTTTTGATTTGGGGAATATGTTGCCCAAAAATTCCAGCAGCATCATATGTTGCAGTAGGGGAAGGAATACATTTTCTGCTCACATTTTTTTCCTTTGGAAGAAGAGAGATTCTTGATCAGACCACTGGAAATATTTAGCAGGGAATGCAGCAAACTTAGATAAAGTTTGATAAGATACCTTAGATAAGGTTTAAACTATTAATTTGGATCCAGCTGTAAATCTGGAACATGAAATCAGAGGACAAAAAATGCTAGAACATGTAGAAAACTTCAAGATATCACCTGTTCTCTGTGCTCAAAATAGGAATAGCAATGCCTAGCTTGATGTTGCTCCTGACAAATCACCCTTAACATGTAACAACAATGCCACAGTAAGCATTTAGCTGACAAAGGAACTTGAGTAAGCCATTTGTTTTCCTAATGTGGAAAAAAGGGAAAAAAAACAAGAGGGTGTCACTTTTTCATAGGCTGTAGAACTGATAGGATTTTTCAAGTTTAAAATTTTAGTGAGAAAATTCAATTATTTATGGATACCGGGTTTTTTTTTTGTTCTGAGGGGGATAGTAGGATGAGCTGTTAACACATCCATCCTTACCTGCTGCAGCATATTATGCAAATTGATTTATTACTCCCTTTTCTGTGACAAGCAGTAGTGATGAAGAAGATCAGCAGGAAATCTAACATTGAAACAGCAGCAGAAATCCTTTCAGCTAGGTAGGTAATAAACCATTTGTGATCCCAAGTTGCTAAAATATGATTGCAATAAATACAATTAGTAATTTGTAAAAATATAAATCAGCATGAACTTTTTATCACAAACTAAGCTGAAAATCAATGATTATATAAAGACATTATTCCATGACTGCTCATGCTCAATATTCAGACTTTACAGCAATTTCCTCATTTCTAAAAAGCCTCTGCTATGCTGAACCAGCTCTTAACAAAGTTGTGATTGGGATGACCAAAGGTGAGTGAATACAGCACAGTATGAAAAAGAAATAGCTATATTTTGTACCATCCTTTTCTATCTCCTTCCTTCCCTGGTGAGAAAGCTGTCCATATGTAAGTTACTCAATATATGGTTAATAAAAGTCCTCAGTCTACTTAAGTGAATGTTCTTGGCTAACACAAAGCTGTGAGGAGTGACCGATACCCCAGAGGGTTGTCTGAAAGCTGCCCTTCTCAAGGACCTCAGTGGGTTGGAGAGATGGGCAGAGAACTGTCTGAAATTCAATGAGGTCAAATGCAGGGTCCTGCACCTGGAGAGAAATAGCTCAACACACCAGTATAGGCTGGGGCTGATCTGTTGGAAAGCAGATCAGGGATCTGTTGGGATCCAGGAATGCATTAGGAAGATCATTCCAGCAGGTTGAGGGAGGTGATCCTGCCCCTCTACTCAGCCCTAGTGAGGACACATTTGGAGTGGTTTGTACAGTTCTGGGCTCCTCAGTGCAAGAGAGACATGGAGCTACTGGTGTGGGCAACAAAGGAGATCAAGGGGCTGGAGGGTCCCTTTTATGAGGAAAGGCTGGGAGAGCTGGGCCTGTTCAGCCTCGAGAAGAGATGACTGAGGGGAGACATCGTCAATGTCATGGAATCACAGAATCAGCTTGGTGGGAAAAACCTTTGAGATCGTCAAGTCCAACCTGTTAAGTCCATAAGTATCTGAAGGGAAGGTGCCAAGAAGATTAATGAATCCAGGCTTTTCTCAGTGGTGATAGGCAATAGAACAAGAGGCAATGGGCAGAAACTGATGCACAGGAAGATCCACCTGAATGTCAGGAAGAACTTCTTTACTGTGTACGTGCCCAAGCACTGGGACAAATTGCTCAGAGAGGCTGTGGTGTCTCCCTCACTGGAGATATTCAAGAACCATCTGGACACAATCCTGTGCCATGTGCTCCAGGATGACCCTGTTTGAGCGAGGAGGTTGAACCAGATGACCCCCTGTGGTCTCCTCCAACCTGACCCTGTGGTTCTGTGATTGTAAAGGTTGTCCCATAGGAGATACCAAACAATCATTCAATACTTCCATGGGCAGTAAATTATTTTTCAGAGTACCAGGAAGATCATCTCAATGCTCAAGAGATTTTCTGTTCAGTACTTCACGCAATGGCATCAGTTAATTTCTGCTTTAATTCAAAAAGAAATCTGTTTTAAAAAAAAAAAAAGTCACTAAAATTTCTCCTGTTATCATCCCACTTTTTTAACCACCTAGTATTGTACCTGCCTTGATGACAGATGTCAAGAAACCTGCCCCATTTCTTCTAGCCTAAGCAAAAACGCTTTCTTTGAAAACTGCAACCTAGGCAGAAAAAGTTAAACTTGTAGTAACTTTGCTTGAAATGCATTGATTTCTTTGGAATGGAGTCATATCTTCAAATGAAACTCAATAACAACCTGTAATAACTAGAGACAGACAAGAAAATGGCTTCAAGGTATAAGCCGATTTGTTCTTATAGTGCTCAAGTCTGTGGTGAGGTACTTATTTTTTAGGTGAAAAGCATTGGAGAAAAGAACAGAGGTAATATTATCAAAGTCACACAGGTAATCCACAGCTCAAGTTCTCAGCTATTCACTGGTGAATGGGAGATAAAATCTGTCCTCAAGTGTACTCCCTCTTTAATGTTCTGCTCACTCTACAATGAAACCACAGCTGCCCCAAAGTGCAGCTTCCATTGGGGTAGACAAGTTCTGTGCTTAGTTCACAGGCAAAGGAAAGCAACCAGTGTCACTAATGACAGTAATCCCAGCTAACCAGCTGCTGAGCATCACCAGATATCTTTCCTCTCCAGGATCAAAAAGGTTCACATCTTCTTACCTGGCTGTCCTGAATCCCACCTGACACTTGCTCAGGTACACCTCTTTTGTATTAATGTGTTCATTGGAGAGGATGACAAAAAATACTGATTACAGAAGAGTCTTATCCTTGAATCCAATGCTATTTTACTGGAAAGAATAAAGAAAGAAAATTCTCTCAGAAGTTTACACTGGTGAAGGTATGTGGCACTATAGAGAAGGCTGCCTGATAACACAAACAAACAGCTTTTGTGTCATAACCACATATGAAATCACCCTACTACAGAATGTTTTCAGCTCCTGCGTACTTTAAGTGGCAGGATGGTTCATATACCTACCTCCAAATTCAGGAAAAATTATTATGTCTTTTTTTACCAGCTGTTATGCTAACCACCAGAGAAAGCCGTGGTCTGTGCCAGGGAGTACTTACAGTAATACAAAAAAACCCCATCCTATAAGTAGCAAGGGGAAAAAAATTTAAATATTTTATTTGATTGTCATCAAGCATGGGTGACTCTGGATAGAGTTGTGGATTTCAGCAGCATCCCCACCCTTCAGTTTAATTGCTCCAGACTACTTTTTTTTTTTTTTTTCTGAAGTTTCACCTTCAGTTTTATCAGGTCATGGTTATAATCTCTGAGTTAATGAGTTTGAGAGCTGAGATTATCAGCTGTCAGTTAAACATGGATGCAAAAAATCATTAGATTCTTTTTCTTTTAACTAACAACAACTGAAAGCCTGCGTGCCTTTTCTCATTTGAAGTGAGCAAAACCTCCCTTAGGCATTTGTTTTCTTTAACTACACAAAACCATTTGTAATTACTGACTTTAACATCCCAGTCAAGATTTTGCAGAAACATGTCAGAGGCTTGTCATGTGTCTCTTTAGTTCTTATGTTCTCAACAAAGGTGTTATGCTGACAGGAGGTTATTAAGTATATTTTCAGCATCAGTACAATTTCTGTCAAGTATTAGTATTTCTCTGCAAGTTTGGGAATTTTTTTTTGTGGGACACTTTTCAACCCTCAGTGCTCCAACTTTGGTTTTGAGGGGGAAGCATTGATGGGCCAGAGAGCTATTTTAGCAAGAGATTCAAGAGTTATTTTAGCAAGAGATTCAAGCTGCTTTATCAGGGCCTTCATGTATTTTGTCACGTGCCTTGATGGACTGGCATGTATGGTATCATAATTGGGGATCACTGAAATCGTTTACCCCATAGCTGATTTACCCCATAGCTGAAAGGCAGAAATCCAGCATGAATGCATTCAAGCCCAGGGAATGATGGTTGGTTGTGTGGAGACCCACAGAGATGGTTTGATACCAAGTGTTCATACTGAATGACTTCATGAAGGAGGAAGGAAGATAATTTCACTCCTATCCTGGTTCTCCTCACCCCCTTAGTGCAGTTCTTATTTTCTGTCTGTTTCCCATGGCCCAGAAGCACTGCTGTCTCCTTCCAGCTCTCAAGGAATGTATGATAAACACCAGCGACTGTACAAGTGCTTCCCTGCTTTTCATCTGGATGCTAATGAAGACTATCCTACTGTATTCAGCCATGGTGTGATCTCACCCTGAGCACTACGTGCAGCTCTGGACCCCAGAAATTTAGAAGTAGGTGAAGGTATTTGAATGTGTCCAGAGGAGGGGAACAAAGCTGGTGAAAGGCCTAGTATGAACTGTGATGTAACCCCCTAAACATGCATGTAAATACAACCACTAACCCATTTTTCAGATCTAGGGGGACCACACAAAAACATGTTTCTGTTTTACTTTGCCTAAGAGAACTTGCTACCTTGATTTCTGCTAAAGTGAGAACAAATTTATAAACTCTCTGAAATGTCTGTGTCTTCAGGAGGGAATAAGTACTTCTTTTCCAGCACTGCTAATTTTTCAGTCTTTTCATATGGCATGTCCCATTCTTTCCCAATCATCTACCAAAACAATATGTGGATTGCAAGTCTGCTTCCTTTCTTCAAAGACTGTCTCAAAGAAAAAAGCATGGTAAGAAAAGCACAGAAAATGGGTTCAGATGTGGAATCTGGTGTCATGACTGATCTGCAAATTAAAAGAATTTTTAGAAGGAGAGATATAGTGAAGAATACATCAGAAATTAATCCAAAATCTCTTGAATACGTTGTATAAATATGTAATATTCAGCTGTTTCTGTAAGAGTCATCCAACAAGAACTACACTACTTTACAAATAGATTGCTTTAAATGTTCCAGGTTTTGAGGTCAAAACATATTTGCAGAAGTCCAATTAGCCTGTAAATTCCTGTTTCTGGAAAACAACAGTCACAATATTTAGTGGGATAGAGTGGATAAACTTAGTGATACTGAATTAATCACATGGTTTAATTTTTGCTAGTATTCAAAAATAATAAATGCAGCTTGCTGACTTCTACTGATACAACTAAAAGAACGGCTTTCATGGTGCTTGAATATCTATTCCTCTCTCCCTTTTTTCTTAACAATAATTCCACACTGTTTTCTTTGCAAAAATTCATTCACTTCCAGACAAGAAGCAAGCTGCTTCTTTCTACCATACCACCTCTCAGAATCAGCAGTTTTTGGACTGCTGCCTCTTCTGAAAATAATCCTGTGCTCTTAATACAGCCTTTCACCTAAGATTCCTGCTCTTCAAAAGTTCTTGAGCTCCTCTCAGCAGCAGCTTAAAAAATGAAAGGGGGGTTCTTATCTTTCTTTTCTTACTCTCTCAACCTAAAACCTAAACAGCAGCTCTCCTGCTCTCCTCCCACCTTCTAGACTCAGTATTTCAAAATAACTCTGGAACTGGGCAAGGTGAGAAGAATCGCTTCACCCATGCAGAATCACACCAACAGGCTTAAAGCGTTGAAAGAGTTTGGTAGAAAATCCGAGCTGGAGCGTGGCTTAGCTGTAACGCTAAGCCAAAATAAGTGGCATGACTGAACTGGTAGAACATACTCAAAAAAAAAAAAATACTGCAGCAAGTTTCTGGCAGCAGCTTGTTTATTCTAGCCACAACTGTTGGATCAAGCAGAGTAAGTCACTCATGAGTTTGTGAGAGACTTCACTGCTGTGCCACAGGGTGCAGTGGGAGCTCATGCCTGACCTGCTGTTTCTCTCCACTTACTGTTTTTTCCATGTCACACCAGCAATACTGATTGTATCTTATGAAAAAGTTCCAAATGTTGAAGAGAAATAATAGGAAATCCTTGATATTTCACTTTCTTTGAAATTAATGAAAACTCAACAAAATGCACTTAATAATACAGGGTGGGCGCTTAAAGGGATACAATGGAGTGTTTTCTGACTCATATTGTACTTCATGTTCTTCAATGCTTTCATATTCTTTTCTCCAATAAACAGCCACAACTATGCTACTGTTGCTAGGACTAAAATAAGAAATTGAATTTGTTTCAAGAGCAAAAGAAGCATGGAAACTAAACTCTACTTTTGGAGAAGAAATATTTTGTATAGGTAGAACTGATCATTCTGAAGGTTACTGTACTTTGTGCAACTATATGTTTTCATTTTGGTGTTAGAAGTACTGCATTTGGGAGTTAGAAGGAAATATTTCTATTGTTTTACAATTAAGACATACTTGATTATGTCAATATAGTCAGGATTTTGAAATTTATATGTTTTAAATTGTCAGAGGTGTGGACTTTTTGTCCTGTTTCCTGTATTTTTATCACATTCTGCCAATTTTTATGGATTTCTGTGGTCAAGTATTCAAAGTAAAGCAGGTCATCATGGGTTTTTTCCCAAGAATATTCTCCTCAATTTAAACATATTCTGTAGTTTTAGATCATGCTACAGCACCGCCAAACATTCATGTATCACCAGGAACAAGGACAGAGCAATAAAAGCTGGACCGAATGCTGCAAAAGAAGATCTGGGGTGGTAAAAGGATTAGGTCTTCAAAATGCATTTGACAGAGAAGAAGCAAAACTTTTTTTTTTTTTTTTTTTGTGGGGGGGGATGGATCATAACAAAAAATAGAAGTAAAGGTGGAACTAAACCCACAGTACGAGAAATTTCAAGAGTCTATGTGTTCCATTATAAGCAATCTGTGACAATATTAACAGCAAGATCTAGAGAGCTTCTCAGCTCTCCATGAGGAAACCCCTTACCTGAATAAGGTGGAGTCCAGTTCACAAATTTCTACATGACAAATATGACTGTGAGCGTGCTCTTTGCTTTTGTTGGAGGACAGGTCTCATCCCCAAGGCCCTGCAGTACAATTTGCTGATGGGAAATTCTCCTTTCGACTTCTTTGGCAGAATGCCCACCTCTTCTGCAAATTCAAGCTCCCCTTCCAAAGCATCTCCTTCTTGTAAGTCATATGAGGAGCAGCTGAAGCAACTGGGGTTGTTTAGCCCGGAGAAAAGAAGGATCAGAGAGGACCTTATCACTCTCTACAATCACCTGAACAGCTTGTAGCCAGGTGGGGGTTGGTCTCTTTTCCCAGGCATCCAGTGGCAGGACAAGAGACTCCCTGGAGCTTCACCATGGGATGTTCTGGTTGGACATCAGAAAAAGGTGGTCAGGCACTGAAACAGTCTGCCCAGGTAGGTAATGAAGTCACTGTCCCTGAAAGTGTTCAAGAAACAACAGGAATTATTTAGTTCACAAGATGGTGTCCAGTCAAAGTTTGGGCTTGATGATCCTGGAGGTCTTTTCCAGTCTAAATAATTCCATGATTCTATTCTATTCTGTGAATGTTGATATCAAACCAGTTTCTCACAAACAGGTCTAAAGTCCTGCAATAAGATCAGACAAGCTTAAAACCAGTTTATTTTTGAGAAAATAAGATTTATTGTTAACTTAGCTATCTTTTACATGCTGTTAATTGGAATGTGGTATTTAAATAAATTCTCACTTGTTACTGAAGAGTTATTTTATTTGTGTAAAAGTGTTAATGCCTCAGAAAATTCTATTTTTAAAACATTTACCATTTTCTCCTTTACTTAACAGCCACAGTAACATTCATCATATAGTTTTTGTTTCTCCCAGCAGCTACATGGAAGTACATCACAAAGTCAGAGGCTGTAACGTTTTGAAAGACAGTTCCAGAGATTTCCTGATCAGAGCAATCCACTGGTGTACATTCTTTGAAACCCAAACCAAAGCTTTGCTTTCCTGATGAGTTGCATAGAATGACAATGTCTACCCAATCTGCTTTAATGCTTTCCCACATCGCTCACTGCACTGAATCTCCAATTTTATCAGGGAAGTAAAAGCAACATTTCCTCCTGGCTTGGTAAACATGCGATTATTTTGTTTCTCAGACACTTCAAAAGCATCTGTTGAAAAACACAAACCCAGCAAAAACCTGCTTATAATTAATTCAAGGGAAGTTTAGTATCCACAATTCCAGTACAGCAAATATTTATAAAATTGACTTACAGCAGAATGATATTGAAATAATTTGAAATGCTGAAAAATATAATTTATACCTATCTATGACTATATATTTGCACACATTTAGACAAAACAGTCTTTATGGAACTCTGAGTCGGTGATGACATTGGAAGAAGGCCATTTCTGTAAACTTTGAGTACATGAATGTTCTGTTAACAGTTTCAGCAAATATTCAGCAGCATAAATTATGGGGCCGATCTAATTAAACTTGGCGTAATCTTGTTCTTCTTTCACACTAGTTATAATAAGAAAATGGTTTGATGTGACCCTCAGGACATTATTTAGTAAATTATGTTAAAAGAAATTCCAGCCTAAGAGCTGCAATTCTCCCATTCACAAAACTCGCACCACCTAAATTTTAAAAAAATCTTATCCATTCATACATTCTACTTGGGGAAAATCTGTATGGTCTGTTTGTCTGTGGTATGAAAGAAGACTTCTAGAAAAGTTCAAGACTTTAACCACATAGAAACCAGAGATATATCCTAAATAATTTTGACTGGAATCCCTCTGAGTTATTGTTTTTATTAATACAATTTCCTGTTTTCTACTTAATAAATGTTTAAAAGTCTGCAATAGAAAGATTGCCAATTTCTCTGACATTCAGAGCCACTTGATTTCTAAAGTCAGTTTTGTAATGCCTGTATCCCATAAGCTAGGATGAGAACTGTCACCTTGCTGAACACTAAGGTTGGAAAAGATTTATGATCACACTGTTTTTCTTACACATAAAAGGATCAATCTTTCAAGTTCTTCAATGAGATTTTTTTTAATTAGATGTTTTTAAGTAAAAAAAGTCACTACACTATATTTTTTATGTGTTTGTCTCGCTCTGTGGCAACAACTGGAAGGTAAGTAGGCTAGCTAGGAATAAGTGATTCCATCCATGTTGACAGGATGGGGACTCCATTGTGGGAATCTGTAATTTCAGAGAGCTTGTCAGTCTCTGTGAAACAGAGAGTGAAAAGGTCTAGCCTGCAATTTTTTATCAATGGAATACAGCACAGAAAATTACATTCCCTCTACCATTGGAGACTTGAAATATGATTAAAATGTTGAAATGTGAAAGGCAAAAGGAACACTGTCTAATGAGTTTACCTAAAATAATTAATGAAGAACTTGAAGATCCATGTAGACTGCATTCAAGGAGACTGAAAGTTAATGACAGCCAAGGACAGGAGATAAATTCACTAAACCAAACAGAAGGTATAACACAGTGAAGCTAATTAACTCTTTACACAGCTTGCCAAAGACAGCTAAATTTCTGTTACTGAAGTTGACTGCAAAGGCCGGATAATCATTTAAGTTATCAAGCAAATTCCAGCAAGAATTTACTTATGGAAGTCCAAGTATTATTCAAATTAGGCTGAATGACTGTTCTGATGGGACTCTACGCTTACAAAATAGGTTCCTTAAAGTGCAGTCCTTCAAAATTCACTACATTAAATCAGGTAAGGGTTTTTTTATATTCCTTGCAGATACAGATCTGCAGGTTCATTCAGATTTGCTAGGGAAGAGGGATAAATGAAAAAGTGATCAAAACCCGTCCTCTCTCTGGAACGCTATTCTTAAAGGTCAGATTCTTTCTTCAGACTGCTAAATTCCAGCAACCCCCTGCTTTACAATAAGCCACACATTCCTGCCAAAGAAGTCTTGCCTCATTGTGCAGACAGGTTTTCCACCAGTAGAGCAAGCCTTACTGCTACCCACATTCTCCTCAGGAGCATCGACATCTCCCCATCTTCTCCTGGGTATATCCTCACTGTCCTGACTATTTCATTACAGTGCCACCCTGAACTCCAGGTGTTTCTCCTATGTAAACATGCTTAATAGGGAATTTTGTGTTTGATGATGCTACCTCCCACCTTCCAGAGCATTTCCCCCTGACCCAAGTGATAGGACCTTATAACAACCAGCATTCTTCCCTCTGCTTGCCATATATTTGCTAGAAAATTGTGCATTGCACATATGATCAACTGGGAACAAAGAGATAAAACATTTCCACCAAACAGATGAAAATCCCTTATGTCTTAAAATTTATTAGTTAACTTCTGTGTTATATTTGCAAACAAAATATCCCAGTTTCTTGATAATATATATTATTACAACATTGTAATATACTATAACAGATACATTACAAAGCTAACATTGCCTTGCAAATTCAGTGAAGATTTTCCATAGAGAAATCTTGATACAACTGCATATAGTTTGCATGCATACAAATAAAAGTGTTATGTTAATAATGAGAACAAGGTACAAGTAGCCAAATTAAAATAGAAACAGTTTGGAGATTCTTGGCTGCTCTGCATTCTGTCATGACCATTTTCAAATACAGAAGTCATGACTTTTTTTTTTGTTTCTTTATTTGTTTGCATATGTATTTTATTTGAAAGTGTGCAGCAACATTAATATATTTTCACTCTTTATGAATAATGTAAGTATCTCCCCTTATTACAATATGGTACCTTGAACAATTTATATGATTATATAAGGCACAAACAATGGCAAATCAGGCCTACGTAGTTCTAATTAAATCTTCTAAGTACACTAGAGTATTCCAGGCTTTTGTTTTAAGCAATTGTCCCCTTTTATTTTGACAGCAGCATCAGCATAGTTCTTTCATCCTCCTTCTCCTCTGTTCAATCACTTACTTTATTTAGCACCTTTCTAAACACAGTTTCTTTGCTTTCAGCCTGGTACGTGTGGGATGAAAACCTCCCTCTCCCAGAAACCCTTCTACGGGACAAAAGCACACCCACACACCTTCACCCCTGCACACGCGCGGCTCGGGGTGACATGCCGTGTGTGAGCACTTCAGAAATGTTAAATAAAAATTTATCGTTGCATCTGTTAAAAATAGGCTCTGCCTTCCTGCTGCTCATGCCAGACACTGCCACAGCTGTCTGCTCTGCCCATGGTCACATCATCTTGCTTCCTGAACAGAAAGTAGGAGGAGGTGACAGCACCCAGGATAGGTCCATAGGACTCTCCTTAGTAAGGAAGTTGCTCACATGCTTGTGATCCTCCACCAACCTCTTTGGCAGCATGTTATCTCATCATATTTTGCTGTTGTACCTACGCCTATCTGATACTGGGTATTTAAAGGAGAAAAAAATTGCAAGATTTCATATTTTTAAAATTTATTATCTTTCAATATTTTTCTTGGAAAGCAAATATCAGGAATATGGAGGCACAGAAGAGTGTAAAGGAACTCCCTGAGATTTAAAAAATCAAGCAACTAAATTAAAATTCTGCAGCAGGGAAATAGTTGAAGTTGAGAAAATCTTCAAAAGGAATAATTAAATAATGGTATCATTTTTCACCATCCCCGCCTGCCCTTGCTACAAGCACTTAGAAGTCAAAATAACTCGTATGTAAAAGTTTTGGTCCCCATTCATTGCTAGAGATTTTCAGAATTTCTCAGTTTTTTCATGTCCGTTTCATTTTTACTTGGTTTGGGATTTTGGTTTTGTTTGGTTATTTTGTTTTTGTTGTTGTTTTGGCCTCTGATAGTGTAAGTTGATACTGTTTCTTCAGAGATTCTTTCATTCCCTTAAAAAGTAATGCTCTCTATCAGAAATAACTAATGATCTTAGCAAATTTTTCAAAACAAATCTTAGCAAATCTAACTCATCTCTACAGCAGAGACAGGTTCCCAGGTTCCACTCAGTTTGCTGAAGCTCCACACACAAATACAGTTTTCTTCCTCTGCTTGTAATAAGCAGTGACAAAAGAAAATAATTGCACATGGAAAGGAGGCTTAAAATTTTAGGAAGGAAAAATTTTTCTGGGGCTCTTCTTTTCATCAAGTAAATCAATTTTCAGAAGAGAAAATATTTTGAGTGACCCTTTCACCTTTCCTGAATAGACTAAATAAGTCATTATATTTAGCTTCTAAACTAGTATCTTCCAAATGCATTAGCACATACTATTTGTTATGTTTCTAAAAACACAGGCTTTTAGAAACTCTTTTTTCAGTTTTAATGAGTTACTGACACCAGTTCTACAATTAGACCAGAAACTAACATTACTGTTGTGTTTGAAGATGCATTTTACTAATAACAGCTGTTCAGATCATGAAAGGTGAAATTAAAGTATTTATACTCCTATATGCTTAAAACATGCCTTTAAATATATATTAAATTATATTGTGAAAAATTTGGTGACTGTGTAAAAATTATTAATTCTTCATTATACACTAAACATTAAGCACACAATTTTAATTCACATGCCAATTGCAGTTTTTTTGTATATATTCTATTACTCTTTGTTGATTTTCCCCTGTTGTAAGCTGAACTTTAGCTGCCTAGAGTGCAAGGAAAGGGAGAAGTCCAAAAGAAGGGGGGAGAAAGAGTACAGTTCTAATAAGAATGAGAAAATCATTCTTTCTATAAATAGTAATGAACTTCCAGCAAAGAGAATTTGGTTGCTGGGGAAGAAGTCATCTGTTAAAATCATATAAAGCACTAGGACAACATTTACCTGCAGAAGAGTCTGGAAGATCTGAGAGGTCAGATTTCCAGACTTTCATCCCATACAGGAATTTCATTGGTTCAGGATGAAGAGAATTTTACCAGCAACAGGAGTTCAAGGAGCAGACAGGAATTAACACAGGATACTGTGCTCAGCCTTCACCTGTGCTGTCTCACAGTGGCAAAAGGGAGAGAAATGCTGTGCTGGGACACTGCATTGCATGGTACCTGGTAGGAAAACAGAAAAAAATCAATATATCATCAGTATTTTTAACAAAAGTTTTATTCACATTTCTTTTTGTCCTTATTAAGTTATAAATTCTATTTCTGCCTTACAGGCCAGCTGAAAGAAAGGTTCATCATCAGAAATATATGCAGCTGCAGAAGCTTTTACAGATAGGAACTTTTCAGACATTAA